TTTGGGTTTGAGGTCTCATTTGTTAACACAAACACTTTAACTTAAAAGAACTTCTGGTAAACCAAATGTGAATTTTCAATACTACTCCTATTTATAAAAGAGGAAGGAAAAAAATGAATGAACCCAGCAAAAGCCATTCTTCCTACAGACTGCTGACTGGTGTACAGATGGTAAGAACCTTCTGCTCTTGCTGAAGCTTGCAGAACAACACTGTAGATCTTGCATCATTTAGAACTGCCAGCCAAATGAAATATGATTACCTCCATACGATTTGTGTCAACTCCAGTTAGCAAAGGTATAAGTAATCATTTCTTTAGTTATAGGACTTTCTACTTGTACTTTTGAAGATATGTCAGCAGTTTGCATTTAAATCAATTGCATTTTATTCATATACACAGGCACAGACTGAAAGACAAAATTACCTGAAAATGTACTTTGCAATGAATGTCTATAGAATTAAGCTTTTTGAAAGGGAAGAGGGCACTCTTTCATATGTGTTTAAATATGTTTTGGCAGACTGCCTGACATTTAGTTTTGATTATAATAAATTATTATTACTACTACCTATATGTTATGATTTCTAGTTACAGTTTCTCAGAAGAGACTAGTAAAATTAGTTTAGGCTGTCTGTTAAGGAGAGCGAGGGAATTTCTTTTTATTTCTTATGGAAGGAACAAGACCAACTTAATATCTCTCAGTAGCACCTCCCATAGAGAAGCTCAATAAGTATTTGGCAACTTATTTTATAAAATTTTAATACAACATACTAGAGACACAAGTTAAAGGTAAAAACAAGCCAGAGAAGAACAGAGTGATTTAAAGGATCTGAACCTTGATGACAATCAAATCAACCACCACAAGAAACAGGCCTTTCCTTAAATTTTTTTTAAAGATTTCACTTATTTATTTATTAGAGAGAGAACATGAGAGAGCACAAATGGGGAGGAGGAGGAGCAGGGTGGAAGGGAGAGGGAAGGGGAGAAAGAATCTCAAGCAGACTCCTGGCTGAGCACAGAGCCCAACATGGCGCTCGATCTCATGACAAGGAGATCAGGACCCAGAAGTCAGGACCTGAGCCGAAACCAGGAGTCGGAAGCTCAACCGACTGAGCCACTCAGGTGCCCCAGGCCTTTCCTTAATTTTCAAGGAATAAAGGAACACAGCAATAAAAAAGACAATGAATTTGTTATGAACTCTGCACTTCTAAGTTTACTAACAGTGACTAAATTGTGAACTGTTTGGGAAGAATGTATTGTGTTGAAACTGTGGCACTACTGGGTCCGCCCAGTCAATTCTAATATGAAAATGCTCAACACTGCTTTGTCTTAAACGCTGGCAAACTGTCAGTGTTTTGGAGAAGAGGATAAATGGGTGATGGAAGAAGAGTATGGTACCGGTACTGTTTGGAGGTATATACAATTGTTTTGCATTCGTTTTTTTTCCCCTTTGTATTAGCCCTCTAGACACCACCCTAATCAATTTATGGTGCCATAGAAAAATAATGATACCTAAGCATCTGGTGATTGGTATAGAGTTCACAGTTAATCCTAGGCTTCCTGCAGTGGAGACTGTGGGGACTGGCAGTGTGCTGGAGTGGGCCAGAACTTGGTGCAGTCCAGGCAAATTGACAATTTCTATCTACATGAATTGGGCAAGTTATCCTCACTAGTAAAATGGAATAGTGACTATGTCTTCTTCATAGGGTTGTTGAGAGGATTCCAAGAGGCTATGCATGTAAACCTCAGCACAGGGCCTGGTACAGAATAAGCCCTCAGTAAACTTAGCTAATAGGATTTTTGAAGAAAATGACTCAACCTGAGGGGCGCCTGGGTGGCTCAGATGGTTAAGTGTCTGCCTTCGGCTCAGGTCATGGTCCCAGGGTCCTGGGATGGAGCCCCACATCGGGCTCCCTGCTCAGCGGGGAGTCTGCTTCTCCCTCTCCCACTCCCTCTGCTTGTGTTCCCTCTCTCACTGTGTCTCTCTCTGTCAAATAAATAAACAAAATCTTAAAAAAAGAAAAGAAAATGACTCAACCTGAAATAAATGGGTCTTCCCTCACTTTCTTCTGGTCTAATTTAATGCCATTCCTCTGATGATATTTCTGACCTCCCCACCCTCCTCACCCCCAGGTTATGTGCTTAAATTGACCCAGTACACCACCAGTCACAGCTTTTATCAGACTTATATCATCTTTGTTTATTCAACTCTTTGTCTTTCTGTCCAATTTGTTTTACCCCAGAGACCTTGAGCTCTGTTTGAAGGGAATGTCCATGCTGTTTGGATTCTTGATGAATCCCCAGTACCCAACACAGGGTACAGTATACTTACTGTAAGACTTCAACATGTGTTTGTTGAATGAATAATTTGACACTGAAATTTTGTTAACATACTGGGTTAAGAAAAGTTGGTGGCTGATGCATTTAAAATACATAATTTTATGAAGCTGAAAATAACCCCCCAAAAGCCATGAAATTAAGTGCAATCCTTGGAGAGAGGCTTAGTGAAAAGAATGAGGTGTTCATTGGGGGTGGAGAAGAAGATAGGTTTTTTCCTTTTGATTTGATTTTGTTGGGCTGAGTCGAAGACTATCAACTACGTCTGAGTCTATGCATTTACCAGGCATACACAAGTGCTCAGTGGTTGTTTGAACAGCAGTGTCTTTGCTGGGAACGCAATTGCCTTGTGTTCTACAGTTCTACAGTTAAGGACTTGGAAGGGACCTTACTGGTCATCACATCCCAGACTCCACTTTAAAGAGGAAGAAAAGGGGTGGCTGGGTGATAGACATTGGGGAGGGTATGTGCTATGGTGAGCGCTGTGAATTGTGCAAGACTTGAATCACAGATCTGTACCTCTGAAACAAATAATGCAACGTATGTTAAGAAAAAAAGAAGAAGATAGCAGGAGGGGAAGAATGAAGGGGGGGAAATCGGAGGGGGAGACGAACCATGAGAGACGATGGGCTCTGAAAAACAAACTGAGGGTAATAGAGGAGAGGGGGTGGGGGGATGGGTTAGCCTGGTGATGGGTATTAAAGAGGGCACGTTCTGCGTGGAGCACTGGGTGTTATGCACAATGAATCATGGAACACTACATCACAAACCAATGATGTAATGTATGGTGATTAACATAACAATAAAAAATTAAAGAAAAAAGTAAAAAAAGAGGAAGAAGAAACTGAGGCCAACAAAATGCAATACTTCTTTCCTGATGGGGCTGGGCCGAGATATCAGGTCCGCTGACTTCCAGACCGTGTCGGAAGGGTCACTAGTTCTTTTAAAAATAATCACTGCTGCTTTAATAGCATCAGCACCTGTTGTTTTAGCTTCCGCAAGGGAGAAGCTATTAATTTCTCCTTCATCAAAGCCGCATTTCGGGTCTGTCTGAACCTTGTTTGCTTCCTCACTGCAGCTGTCTGCACCCGTAAGGCCAAATGTTGAACGGAGGCACCTTTCTGCTTAAACCCAGTAAATCGCCACGGCCAAATATGGAAAGAAAAAATTCGACACAGATCATCTAGACAGTGGCCAAATTTATAAGGTTTTTCCTGAAGTCTCTCCATTCATTCCACCTGGCAGAAGCCAGCAGCCCACCAGACGCAGCCCCTGGCGCGCAAACCCTTCCACAAGCATCCTCGTTTGTGGTCTGTGACCAGCCGTGGCCAGGGCACGAGCTGGTGGAAGCTGAAAGAGGCAGTTAATCTGAGCGGCAATTTCACTGTCTGTAAAATGGGAAGTAATTATAATCCTTCCTTGGGGAAGTTTTGAGAATCAAATCGAATGCCGGGGATCTTCCATAAGCCAGCTTAGTTTGCTTTTATTACCATTACTGCCGTTCTTGTGTTAGCAAGGCCCAGATCGTTTGAGTTCTGTTTTCTCCCGCGCCTATCCCGCCGGCGGCCCGCTGCCCCACGGGCGTCGGAAAGTGAAGGGCTCCGGGCGTCTCCGGGCGTCCCGGGGAGGAGGGAAAGCCCGCGCAGCGCGCATGCGCATCCTAGGAGCCGCCGGCCCCTAATAAGAGCGCCGCGCAGCGCCGGGGTCAGCCCAGTCGGAGCTGGCTTGGTACCGGGCGCCGGTAGTGTGCGGGCAGCTGCAGCGCTCGGCTTCTTCCGCAGCCCCGAGGACTGAAACTTCCGTGGGAGGCTCCCATCGGTGCGCCCCTCCCGGGGAAAGCGGCGGCCAAGGCGAGAGGGAGAGCCGGACGGACGCTGCCCGGCGCCTGTGGGAGCGAGCTGCAGCCGGAGAGGCGGAGCAGGGTAGCCCGGGGCTAGCGGCCCGCCTGGACCCGCGCCCAGCAGCAGCCGCGGCCGCCTCCAGCCAGGCAGGCTCCCGGGGCTGCGGTGGGGGCGCGCCGGACCGTCGCTCGCGTCCCGGACGCCGGCGTGCGCTGGGAGGATTGGCTGTCAGCCCCGCGGAGGGCAGCGCTGCCCGGGCGGCGCGCCCGGAGCCATGCGGACCGAGTTCGGAGCTGGGGAGGCTGAGCACGGCCGGCCGCTGCACTTGCTGCCCGGAGCCCTGCGCGCGCTGCCCGCCTTCTTGGCCCCTTCTCGCCGCCCGAGAGGGGAATAAAGGAGGGGAGACGCCCCCCGACTCGTGCGCGGGACCCCGAGGCTTAAACTCCGCGGCCGCGACCTGGCTTCAGGTCGGCAGCGGGAGTGAGCGTCCCCTCGGGGATGCGCGGGGAGGCTCCTGTTGTGGGTGAAGCCTCCAGGGGCTGCGGGCCAGCAGCTCCGGCGCCCCTCTGACTCTGCGCCCAGAGAGTTCCATCAGCGAGTGCCCGCTCTCCAGGCAGCCCCATGAGGGACCGGGCCGCCCGGCCGAGGGAGGGATGGCTTAGGACCCCTGCCCCGGCAGCCCGGCGTCGTCAGCTCCTGGACGTCGCGGCAGAGGGCAGAGGCCGGCTTGGAGAGCGCCGCGTAAGGGACACTCGGGCGTCCAAGTCCCGGCCTCCGCACCACCCGGAGCCGGGTCGCCGGGTCGCCGGGACCCCGACTTCCCGGAGACCGCTCTGCGCCCCCTGGAGCCGCGCCGCCCGCGCCCAGAGTGGTGCCATGTGGGGCGGACGCCGCTCGCCCGCCGCCTCCCCTCGGAACGCCGCTTCGCTCCTGCAGCTGCTGCTGGCCGCGCTGCTGGCGGCGGGGGCGCGGGCCAGCGGCGAGTACTGCCACGGCTGGCTGGACGCGCAGGGCGTCTGGCGCATCGGCTTCCAGTGCCCCGAGCGCTTCGACGGCGGCGACGCCACCATCTGCTGCGGCAGCTGCGCGCTGCGCTACTGCTGCTCCAGCGCCGAGGCGCGCCTGGACCAGGGCGGCTGCGACAACGACCGCCAGCAGGGCGCCGGCGAGCCTGGCCGGGCGGACAAAGACGGCCCAGACGGCTCGGCAGGTAGGGCAGGCGGGTCCGGGCGCGACGGGGCAGGAGAGTTAAGCTTTGCCCGGGAGCCTGGAGACGGGAGAGGAATCAGGAGCACTGGAATTTCAGAAAAGGGCTTGGACCAGGAGGTGGTGTCTGCACCCTGGCCCAGCTGTTAACTTGTGCTAAGTGGAGCGCCACTTCACTGCCCCGAGCCTCAGTTCCCCTATCTGTCACCTAAAGAGTGGGTTGGCTTGGATTTATTTTCCGAAGAAAACCACATATGTAAGGCAGTGTGGGGTGCAGACAGCCCCACATTCCTCCTGGCCAGGGAACCTCTGTTTCCCCTCCCACACCTCCTGTCTCCGCGGGTCTAACTTCTAGTAAGGGTGAGTGTCTTGATGGTACCCCAGGAAGCCATGAGGCGCGACCCCAGCGAGAGGGTTGGCGGGGGGCACTTTCGTCCATAAAGGCTCCGCAGAAGGCGGGCATCTCCTCGGGGCCTTCCCGTGGGTAATGCACTCTTCCAGACCCCGGGGCATTCTCATCGTCTGGAACATTTGGCTGCACGGCCTCTCTGGTTTCTGGACGGTTCTCCTGACCACGTCAGACTTAGGAGGTGTGACATTAGAGCCACGCCCAAGCTTGCCCTTTGTGGCTTTGATTTTTTTTTTTATTATTATATTTTTTTCAAGTTGCCAAAGCCAGAGCTGGAAACATAACCAAATCCAGGAACGAATTTGATAGGTTCCATTTCCTCTGTTCTTCAGAAACCTCACAGACCGCCTCCCTTGAGGGTCTACACCAATGTGTGTATGGGAGGGAGGATGTATCACCCGGCTAGGAGTAGAGGTCAAATGGCAAACATGTCACAGAATGGATGTCTCCTCCTTCTGCAGCTGGTTGTGTTAAGGAGAGGGCTGTTTACCAGCACCTTGAGCCAGGGCTTAAGCTACCTGAGCTTTGGCACTGAGTGTTTACAGAACTGTCTCCCGGGCCTGGTAAGAGGCAGCTCTCTTCAGTGCTGTTCCCTTTGCCGGCAGGCATTCTATGAGTAAGCTACTCCTGTTGTTCTGCTGCCTTGAATCTTGAAGAATGGACAACTGAGGGTAATAATTCCAGAAGAGGTGCCATCTTAAAGCTCGAGCTCGTGGCTGCAGGGGTGTGTGTGGACTAAAGCCTTGAGAAATGAGCCAAAGGCGGAACTGCTTCCTTGATGTATCTGCTAAGTTGGGCTCATTAGTGATCTCTAAAAAGTTGGGTTGACTTTGGACAAATCCTCATGGGGCCATGTGATGTGCGTGGGTGCCTTCTTCACTCTACCTTTAAACCTTTTTTCCTAAAAATTCTCTTCCCTCTCACTTCTCTTCTGCAGTCAAGAAGGACCACGTGCCTAATCAGGCAGTGGGGAGAGTTTACGGGAGCACAACATTCTTAACTTCTGTGTGGTTATTTACCTTCCCAATTAAAAACCTGGAAGAACAGTTTTCTCCCAAAAACTCCTGTGGACTTATCTTGCTTTCAGCTAGTTTCTGCTATAATGTTTGGAGTATTTTTTTTTTACACTTGTTTACATCCTAATGACATATTTAGGGCTGGTATCTTAATTTAGAGAATGAAGTATTTATCACCTGCATCCACTGTTCCAGTACGTTGTCTCTCCCCCATTATTAGAACAGTCCCATCATCTGAAGACCCGCTGAGCTCACCGCAGGCTCTGGAACAAGTGTTCCTGCCCGCTAACAGGCACCGTGTAAATATAGTATTTATTCTTCAGCAGTGAAGGTTTAGGAAACCTTCAAATGTCAGCCTTTGGTGAAATGCCTATAAAGTATGTTTTACTTCACAAGGCCTGATTCTTCCAGGTCTCCATGTGGCACTGTAGTCTAACACCCCTGCCATCAGGAATATCAGAGCCGTGGACAGGAGCATAATTAGAAAGGCCCCTGCTCTAGCAGATAGTCCAAGGGTTTTTCACAAATTTGACCTCAGAGGTACGGGAGAACTGGGCTTTTTCCCCAAGTGCTGCCCTGTACCACTGCGCTGGCCCTGGGCTTGGCCAGGACTGGGGAGCCCTAGTTCCTGTCGTTACGTATTTTCCAATCAGATAGTCAAGGCAACAGGCAGGAGCACATCAAAGAACCCGTTCTTGGTAACATGGGGTGGAAGTCCCCAGAAGTGGCTCTGAGGCATTCTGCAGCCTCCTCTCCCCCCATTCTTCGCCCCCATCAGCCAGTGTATCTAAGCTCCTGAAAGCCCTAGAGTGCCAGCCCCATGGCTTCCAGAAGCTTAAGTAACATCGTGTAAAAATGGAACCACTACCAACTAGAGGAAAGTCGTTCTTTTCATCTTTCACGTTATTTTTCAGAATACACCTCACTTGTTAAAGATGACGCCCACTGCTTTATGGTCTGCAGGCTTTCCCTGTAGTTCTGCACACAGAACCCAGTGTTAAGTCCAGGTGTAACTGCCACACCCCAGCTACCCTCGGCCCACCTGGGGGCCTTCTTCAACACTGGAGGCTGCTCTTCTTCCTGGAACAAATGTCTGGTTGCTCCCAACATTTGTTCTTCTTGATACCTTGCTTCATGCTGACCTGCGGCCTGGAATAGCTTCCCTTTTCATAAGTCACTTCACCTCTCCACCATCCAGTGTGAGGGGTGGGCCCGAGGTCCAGCCCTCAGCTAAGCAAGTCAGTGTAGAGGTGGTTTTTTATCTTTTTTTCACCCTTTTTTGACCTTTGTGTCTTATATTACAGATTTGGAAATGGTCATGGCTAGATCTAAATTTTTTGGGTTTTTTTTCAAAGATTTTATCTAAGAGCGAGAGCGAGAGAGCGAGCACAAGCTGGGGGCGGGAGGGGCAGAGGGAGAGGGAGAAGCAGACTCCCAGCTGAGCAGAGAGCCCTATGCAGGGCTCAGTCCCAGGACCCTGAGATCACGACCTGAGCTGAAGGCAGACACTTAACATACTGAGCCACCCAGGCGCCCCTCAATTTTTTATTTATTTGCTTGTGAAAAAAAGAAGAGTTCAAAAGTGGCAAAAGAATATCATTTTCAGGGGAAAGAAAGACTCTTAAATCATGTAATTCACTTCTATGCAGATCCTACAACTATCCATTAGGGCAGACTTAAGTTCGGGCAGTTGAGTTACTGTAGGAATCTTAGAAGTCTCAAAACATTAAATTCATATTTTTGCTAAATCGGACATTTGTCTCAGCCAGTGTTGCAGTTGGCAAGCCTAGCTGTGAATGTTAACCGTTTTGCTTTGGGGGCGCTGATCCGCCCTGCCTAGAGGGCCCTAGCAGCCTTCCTAAGTGCCTGATAAAGGATGGTGCATGCTGTGGGCTGCTAATAAGCGCACAAACCTGTCCAGCAATGCGAGGCCTGAAATTGGTCCTTCAGTCCGGGCGTGGGCGTCGCTCACTTATGGATCTCCACTGCCAAGCACTGATTTTTCACTGCATTCTGAGAGTAAATCCTAATGATGTGTTTTCATCCTTTAGTCCCCATCTACGTGCCATTCCTCATCGTTGGGTCTGTCTTTGTCGCCTTCATCATTTTGGGGTCGCTCGTGGCCGCTTGTTGCTGCAGATGTCTCCGGCCCAAGCAGGAGCCCCAGCAGAGCCGCGCCCCGGGAGGGAACCGCTTGATGGAGACCATCCCCATGATCCCCAGCGCCAGCACTTCACGAGGGTCGTCCTCCCGCCAGTCCAGCACAGCAGCCAGCTCCAGCTCCAGCGCCAACTCAGGGGCCCGGGCGCCCCCAACAAGGTCCCAGACCAACTGTTGCTTGCCCGAGGGGACCATGAACAACGTGTATGTCAACATGCCCACAAATTTCTCCGTGCTGAACTGTCAGCAGGCCACCCAGATTGTGCCCCATCAGGGACAGTACCTGCACCCCCCATATGTGGGGTACACGGTGCAGCACGACTCCGTGCCTATGACTCCCGTGCCCCCTTTCCTGGACAGCCTGCAGACGGGCTACCGGCAGATCCAGGCCCCCTTCCCTCACACTAACAGCGAGCAGAAGATGTACCCAGCTGTGACTGTGTAACCTGGGGCACTGGCCGGGTCCCTTTACGAGACCCAGGAGCCCAGGGAAGCTCTGGACTTGGAAAGGATTCTCTAAGAGGAAGTCTGCCCGCCTTGCTGGTGCAGACAGCCCCGTTGTTTTGGATGGCTTCCTTTGGCCCCCAAGTGTATGAAAACGTTTCTTCCCGATTTAGCCTTTCTGGATACATTTCATCCCACTGCATGATCGATTTATGATGGGGAGAAAAGTGTCATCTGGAGATGACTGTGTTGTTGCCCCTGGTTGTGTGACAAATGCGTGAGGCCTTAAGTGCTCTTGAGGTATGGCTGTCAGGGGAATTTTGTAACCGGGTAGACTAAAGGTTTTTATTATATCCTTATTAGTGTTTCTTTTTTGTTTTTTTACTGTGCAAGATCAGAATATCTGTTCCCTCCCTTGGACCTGGAAGATTTTTATAAGCATCCAAGGTTCAGGGGAAGACGTAAAGAAACAACTATGATGAAAGGAAATCCAGTTGGAACTCCCTGAGATTAGTCCTTGATCTCATTGTTTCCCAGGCACATCTTAATTTCATTGTAAAAAAGTATATATATTTTGTCTATTTTTGTGTTTTTTTGGTCTATTTTGTGCTTTTTTACCTTGTGTAGAGATCTTATTACAAAGTGATTTTCTACATTAAAAAGAGACTGAAAGAAATTGTATAGTTACTTAACTAATGATATTTCAGAACTCTGGGATTATTTTAAGCTTGGAAGTAGCAGGTGGTGTAGTAATACAACCATTCATCTCATTCTCGATCATATCGTCTAATTTGCTGACTGTACAGTGACATCTGAGAAGAAGCAATTAGAATGTTTTTATATTGAAATCATAAACTGTCACCTGCTCCTTCTCCAGGTTACTTTGAATTTTACCGTGTGGTATGGCTTGGCATTCGTTCTGTTCGGCTTTCAGATCCCCATGTCTATGTAGTACCATGTGCAGGTAATTACTGTTACAAATGAAGGTCAGCATTTCTGCCTAGATCTGATAAAACATTTTCTTGTTTCCCTATAAAAATTCGAAGAAATGCTTTACAAAGATACTTCATCTAGCTTCTCAGCCATAATCTGAGATTTGGGATGAAATTTAAACCACAAATAGAGTTTACTTTGCAAATCATAAGGCTTTTTATACTCCTGTTATCAAAATGGCTTATTTTTCAGGCAGTGGGGACTGCTGAGTCAAGAGAAAAGCTTTTCAAAGAGATATTGCCTTTCTTCCCCCACAAGGTTAGTTTTTGTTTTCCTCTCTCTTTTAGTCCTCAACAAGCACTGTATTCATTACTAATGTTCTGAATTATGAAATGCAAGTGAGCCTGTATTGTTTACTTAAAAGAAGTAAGCCTAAGTGTGTGCAAGCAAATTTGCAACTGCTGACAACACCGAGGTTTGCAATTAAACATTGTAAGGTGCAGTCTTTCACACGTTTGTATCTATAGTTTATTTATCCATCCACCCATTCATCATCTGTCTACCCTAGTCTCCTCGCCTCTCTCTACATCTACCCATCATCTCCCTCTCTCTCATGACTGAATGATGTAAAAGCATTGTTGGCAAGTGGTATCAACGAAGATGCTCAAATTTTTTAAATAGCAAAGGCAGGGGAAATCATTTTACTTAATTAATAAATATTTTATGGTATGAATTCCAAGGGAGTTGGGTTTTTTTCATGTTTGTTTTACTTGATAACTTTGCAGATGGTCTATTAAGGCTGTTAGTGTCATAAAATTGCGAAAAATGATAAATATTGCTTTCTAGAACCAAAAGCCTACCTTTAAAAGTAATCCGTACCTGGGAAGTTTATATGTATATTCTAGGAGTGAGTATTATTTTACGTATTCCATGGGAAGTGTTGACAACATGAAAGAGACAGTCTTTGGGGATTATTGTATTATGTGGCTAATGCATGTTCCATGCCTTCTCTTTGAGAGAGGATCCTGGGTTATCTAAAGAAGTAAAATTCCTAGAAATGTGGAGGTGAAAAGGACCTCAGAGATCACTCAGCCTAGAGATTGGCAAACTTTTTTGTTTTTGGCTTTTTTCCCCTGGGAAGGAGCCAGAGAGTAAATATTTTAGGTCTTGCTTGCAGGCCAGATGGTCTCCACCAGCTATGCAACTCTGCCATTGTCACACAGAAGCCACCACAGGGGCTAGGTAACAAATGAGTACAGCCGTGTTCCACTAACACCTTACTGGTGGACACTGATGTTTGAATTTCACACAATTTTCACATGTCACAAAATACTTGATGTTTTTTCTCAACGATTTCAAAATGTAAAAACCATTCTGAACTCTTGGGCCATAAAAACCAGGCAGTGGGCCAGATTTGCCCATTGGTCTTAGCTCACCCATCCCTAATCTAGTCCATCCTTACCTGATGCAGGAGTCCCTCTGACATTTTTCACAGCCCTTTCTTAAACATGGAGGGATGGGGAGTGCTTGCTTCTCTAAGACTAACTTTTCCTTCTTTTCTATGTGGTATTAAATATCACGATTAAAGCAAAAGTGCACTTTAATAAATGAGTTCTTCACTTAGTGCTACCTGGTCTTTCCAAAAGTATAAATAACATCACTGGAAGTACCCTCAGACCTTTTTAGTTTGGGTAAAAACTCGAGAAGTTGAGCTGTCAAAGTAAAAGGTCAGACAGCTGGTTTAAGGATATCTTCCTTACTATCGCGAAATCAGAATCTGTATGGTGTAGTATGCACCCAGTAGGAAAATTTTAAAGTCTGCTAGAAAAAAAAACAAAAACAGTTACAGATAGGAAAATAGTTTGCTGCTGTACATTTTCTTCTGTATCTAAATCTTTGGTTCATGATGGTTCTGGGGATTTCTGAATCCCTTTGTGTGGGACAGAAAGACCCTCTGATTGTAAGGAAAAAGAAATTAACCAGCTCTTTCCATTTAAGGGCCCTGGGGAAACAAAGCATCTCCTTTCATTTCTGCTGTGGCTGGAAAAGTTACAATTAATTACACAATAATACCAACATCCAAAGTGGCAAGAAGACCATTAAGACAAACACGCGTGGGTCTGGCATATTTACTCTGCAATACTCCTGGTTTCAGGCTAGCATTCCATTTTTGATTATGTTCCTAGATGCTTGACTAATATTTCCTATATTAAATTTACCTTGAGCTCGTTTTTCTCAAGACCGCATGGTTTTATTTCATGAATTTTATGGCTGATCTTTTCTCCTTGTTTGGATACATATTCAGATTTCAGTTACCTTCAGAAGTATTTTCTGAAGAAACCATGACCATCAGAACTAAGTTGGCGAGGAAAGTTAGGGCAGATGTCCGCAAATGGACTGGACACAGAGGAGAAAAGTTTCAGTGGTGCTCACAGTTGGGCCAGGGAAGGGTTTGGCCCCTGCCTGGTAACAGCACTCACACTACTCCCTATCTGCACCAGAGGCTTTCTGCAAATTCACATTCTGTCTCGCTACCACGCAGACCCTCAGTGACTCATTTAAAAGCCATTTAAATGAATGAGCTGCATGCTGGCTTTCCATTGCTTCAGCTTTTCAAATGCTTAAAAGGAATACGTTTGTTTCTGTTTAAGGGATTTCGGCAGACTTCTCACTAACTTAGCCTGGGCTCCCTCAGTCAGAACTGCCCCATTAAAATGTGTAATGTGTATTTTCCTACACTGTCCACTGCAGACCTCTGTTCGAGCTATGTGCTTGGCGGAGCTTGGCGGAACTTGGCGGAATTTGGGGAGAGGGGTTATTATGAGCAGACAGAGAACTCTAACCCTGTCAGTCATTAGGATGGACAAGGAGTGGCCCAGGAACCTGCCGCCTTCCTTGACCTGCTGAGTTCCTGCTAAGTAAATAATGGATCAGCGGTAACGGCTAAGGGAACTTTCTAGGATTTTAAAACCTGTGATCCCTTCCCCATCCTGCTTCTTTCCCTTGCTTCTTGAGCAGGAGACAAATCAAAGCATCCGAGCAGGCTGTACGATCTTGAATGGAGAAAGCTCAAGGCAGGCAGGAGGGCAGTGGCTTTGACAACCCCGGTGTGCGGCTCCCCGGGGCCTGCCTAGGGAAGGGCCCAGGAGCCCAGCAGTGAGTCTGGACCTGGCCACTGGGGAAGGCACACCCTTTGCGTTCAACTTTTAGAGCCCCTTTCATTTTTAAAGGAGCAGCCTAAATATTGCAAGGAAGAATAAATCATGCATACAAATGAGAACACCATTCCTCATCACTCAACCTTAATCCTACTTTTCTTTTTCTTAGATGCCGGAGCCTTGAGGACATTTCCACCCTGTTACCCCTCGCCCTTTCTCTGTTTTTTTTTTAAGAGCCGGAGATCAGCTATTTTCATTCAGGCTATTCATTCCAAAATACTTACATAGAAAATTTCTTTGCCTTCTGAAATTTTTCTCTTAATTGAAAACATGAATGTTACTGGGCTTCAAGTGCCTTGAAAGGGTTGAGTGGGGAGAGAGGACAAAGAGAAATTAACTCTTTCCCTGAAAATTAAAGATAACGTTAGGTAAACATTGTTTAGCGCATGATTTGCATTTGCTTTTCCTTGCCCTCTGTTCTTCCGGATAGAATCCTTTATCAGTGAGAAATGGGAGAATAAAATCCTAGAGAAAGAGTGACTCCTGTCCAAGAAGTTCAGTATTTTTGACTGTTAACTATAACGCCACGGCACCATGACAGCATGACTTTGAGATAACATTACAGTTTTACGGAGGGAGTTGGCGGTGAGCATCGGTGTGCTTTTCACAGTTACATCTTCAGAATGCCTTCAACATTTATGCCCCAAATTGAAGGAACCAGACTCAAATCAAGAATAAGAAATTTAAAATTAATGCTTTAAAAAAAAAAAGCTTTTAAATGAGGGATGATAAAAGGGGTAAAAAGTGTATGGTGGCAGCCTTAAGATGGATTTTAAACAGAAAACTTGCATCTCAGTTTCAACCATCTTGAAGTGTAGGTCTTTTCATTTAGAAAAATCATAGGTTACACAAGACATTATTTACTCAGTAGACATAATAGCTGTGGAAGACTATTG